GAGGCTGTGTTGCCGTATTTGTCTAATTCAGGGCTCAGCAATAATCCCCATGTTACCACGCAAGATGAAGCCCCAGAGATCTGAGCGATGGCTGCGTCTAGAACATTTTTGAACAAGAATCTCCGAGTTTGCGAAGGGTCTTTAGATCCGGCAATCTTCCCGGTCAATCCCCCGCGTGACGTAGAAAGAAATTAGCAAGATGAATTAACGTGGCATTTTGAGGTAAAAGTCGACAACATCTCCACTGCCTCCGCCGTGATGCTATCCTTGGTGTCTCTTTGTCGGCCGAGAATAGTTATAGCCGGCGGATCTAACCATGACTGACAGAGAATCTGAGAAGTCAGGGTTCTCAGTGGCGTCGGTCCGGCGGATCTAACCCGATATGTCTTTCTCGACTTAGAAACTCTGCCCGCAGAGTTCCACCATTCTCCAGATCTCGACCAAGTCTCGAAAACTTGACGAGAATTGTAGAGCAAAAACACCCACTCACATGACGCAGATTGGTCATGTACCCGACTTCAAGTTTGATTATGCGGGGAAAAAGAAGGGGAAGGGATCCGTTGATGGTGTGCGTAGGCGGGCAAAGCGAAAACTTCTCGATATGAGGTTGACTTGTAAGGAAGGATAGTTTTGACATCAACTACTACATAAGACCATCCTTCTCACCTCTTTTGGGATTCAATTCTCTAACCTCATCATAATCCTCACACTCTGAACTACAACTGAATCTTCGAGAGCAACACAAGACTCTTCTCTCTAACTTACCTCATACTACCTCCCATCGCTTCACTTATACGCATCACATCATTCACAATGGCCCCCAGCGCGGTCGTTGACGATTTCTCTAGCCATGATGGCCAAGCCCTCGAGCTCCTCTCTGACAAGATCGACGATGTCAACGTGATCAAGTACGACGAGACATCCAAGTTCGACAAGGAGAAGGACAAGAACACCTTCCGCCAATACGCCGATGCCACCGACCGCGTCAAGAACTTCTACCGCGAGCAGCACCACAAGCAGACCGTCGCCTACAACCTCGCTGCCCGCAACCGCTTCTACAACGCCTCTCGTCCTCGTGCCGAGATGACCATTTGGGAGGCCATGGAGAAGCTCAACACCCTTGTTGATGAGTCTGACCCTGATACTTCCCTCTCTCAGATCCAGCATCTTCTTCAGTCTGCCGAGGCTATTCGCCGCGATGGCAAGCCTCGATGGATGCAGTTGACCGGTCTCATCCACGACCTTGGCAAGCTTATGCTCTTCTTTCCCGAGCTCGAGACCCAGGGTCAGTGGGACGTTGTTGGTGACACATTCCCCGTTGGCTGTGCTTTCTCCGACAAGATCATCTACCCCGAGACCTTTGTTGAGGGCAACCCTGATGCTACCAACCCCGACTTCAACACCAAGTACGGTATCTACTCTCCTAACTGTGGCCTCGACAACGTCATGCTCTCATGGGGTCACGACGAGTACCTCTACCACGTCGTCAAGGACCAGTCCACTCTCCCTGACGAGGCTCTCGCCATGATCCGCTACCACTCCTTCTACCCCTGGCACCGCGAGGGAGCTTACCGCCACCTCATGTGCGACAAGGATCATGAGATGCTCAAGGCTGTCAACGCCTTCAACCCCTATGACTTGTACTCCAAGAGTGACGGCGTGCCCGACGCTGAGAAGCTCAAGCCTTACTACATGGAGCTCATCAACGAGTACTTCCCCAACCCTGTCATCAAGTGGTAAAGAGGGAATGAAAGCAAAAGCAAAAAAAAGAACCGATAGAATTGGGATATAGATGATGTTTTCTTTGGGAATATGTTAGCCTGGAATTTTGGGACATGGGATATAATGAACTGAGCGAATCATGAATATACTTGTTATTGATGATCAAGCCTGACTCTTGTCTTTCTCTGTTATGTGATCGTAGCGAAGTTGACTTGCACATGTAATGATGTTGGCTGAGGTTGTCAATTGTCTCTGCCTGAGGCACTGGTACCTATGCAAGTGCTTGTGATAGAAAACTAAGAGAAACCATAGCACCTGTTATTAGAGCTTTGTAGTCATGTGTCTCTAGGTTGTTGCGGGATTTCGCAAGATTCAAAAGGGCATGAATAAAATAGCAGCGCGAAGCTATTCCCAGCCAAACAAGGTTAGACCAAGTTTCGAGGTGCATGTATTGATAAGCACGATAAGAAGAATAAAAGTTCGAACTCTGAACGATTTTCTTCAAGTTCTCGAGCTAGGCCCAAAACCGCTAGCTCAAAGGTCAATCGGCCAATCAAGTAACCGTCTGCCGAGTAGCTGCCCCTCAGCCCGCTGGAAATTTGGAGGAAAAGTTACCCAGCAGCGAAAGATTATCTTTGGGCAGTTGAGAAGTCGCCATCTTTCATAGACATTCACCAACACCAGCATCAACACCACAAAACACCCAACTTACACAATGGGGTCCTTATCGAAACGAAAGCGCGATCAAACAGAAGAGGTAGTTACTGATGACAAGCCTGCTGCTACCGAAGTTGAAAAACCTACGAAGCCTTCGCAAAAACAAGAGGATGAGACTTCCTTCGTCGATCTCGGTCTCGATCCTAGACTGCTACAAGCTATCGCTCAGCAGGAGTTTGCAAAGCCGACACTAGTGCAGAGGAAGGCAATTCCTTTGGCTCTCAATGGACAAGATGTTTTGGCCAAGGCCGACTGTGGCTCTGGAAAGACGGCAGCTTATGTTCTGCCTTTGCTATCTAGCATTCTGAAGCGCAAAGCTGTATGCCACCCCGATTCTCGAGATATCCTATTCTTGAAGGCTTTGCTAATAGCCATGGGCTTAGACCGACTCTGCTGCTTTCACAACTGCCCTCATCCTCGTCCCCACCCGCGAGCTTGCCGACCAGGTCTTCAAGGCCATCGAACAATTTGCTTCCTTCTGCGCAAAGGATATCAGCACAGTCAAGTTGACCGACAAGGTTTCCAATGCTGTGCAGCGCGCCCTTCTTTCAAACTCGCCCGACATCGTTATCTCAACCCCCGCGACTGCCTGGCACAATGTCAACTCTTCAGCACTCTCAATCGACAAACTCACACATCTTATCCTGGACGAAGCCGATCTTGTTCTTTCCTACGGTTACAGTGAGGATCTGGAGAACCTGTCACGATCAGTCCCCAAGGGTGTTCAGGTCATGATGATGAGCGCCACTCTTACAGATGAAGTCGACACACTCAAGGGGATCTTCCGACGTGACCCGACATTGTTGGATCTCAAGGAGAAGGAGGCTGAAGGCGAGGGTATCACCCAATTTGTGGCCAAGTACGTTCTACTGATATTCAGATACCATGGGCCAGTTGCTAACATGTTCCTAGGTGTGGTGAAGATGAAAAGTTCCTTCTCGCCTATGTAATCTTTAAGCTTAAGTTGATTAAGGGCAAGTGCATTATCTTTGTGAGCGACATTGACCGATGCTACCGTCTGAAGCTCTTTTTTGAGCAGTTCGGCATTCGAAGTTGTATCTTGAACTCCGAACTTCCCCTGAACTCACGAGTTCATGTCGTTGAGGAGTTCAACAAACACGTTTACGATATCATCATTGCTGCCGATGAGAAGAATGAGATGATGGGAGATGATGAGGAACCTGTTGGAGGCGAGACTGAGGATGCCGAGAAGCAGGGCGACGGAGATGATGCGGAAACGGAAGCAAAGCGACCAAAGAAGAAGGCCAAGAAGTCCAAGGGCGCTGATAAAGAGTACGGTGTATCAAGAGGTATGCTTGCCCAGAACTGTCATTTATATGGTAGAGAGTTACCCAAGCAAAGGACTTACACTAACAATACTTATAGGTGTCGATTTCAAGAAGGTTTCCGCAGTCATCAACTTCGATCTCCCCACAACAGCATCAGCCTACACACATAGAATAGGGCGTACAGCGCGAGCTGGACAGACTGGCATGGCTCTGTCATTCGTCGTCCCCAAGGATCTATACCGAAAGCACATGCCTACGTCCACACCAACTTCAGAGAATGACGAGAAGGTTATGGCCAAGATCATCAGGCAGCAAGCCAAGCGAGGAAAAGAGGTGAAGCCTTACAACTTCAACATGAAGCAAGTGGACCCTTTCCGGTACCGAATGAACGATGCTCTACGTGCGGTTACCAAGGTTTCTATCCGAGAGGCCCGAACAAGAGAATTGCGACAGGAGCTGTTGAAGAGTGAGAAGCTGAAGAGGTAAGCACATGCAAAATAATGCATCAATTCAAACTGTACTAACAATCGTTCAGATATTTCGAGGAGAACCCTACGGAACTCGCCCATCTTCGCCACGACGGTGAACTTCGAACTGCTAGACAACAAGCCCACCTGAAGCATATCCCAGAGTATCTCTTACCCAAAGATGGCAAACAAGCTTTGACAAACGACATTGGCTTTGTGGGACTCAGGAAAGATCGCAAGGGTCATAAGGGCAAGAAGGGTCGCGGATTTAAGGTTGGCTCAAGAAAGCGAGATCCGCTCAAGACATTCAAGGCGAGGCGCAAGACAAAATAGAGGGACTGGTGTAATACAGCGTTTTTGTGGGGGTTAATACCTTGATCTGAATTCAAGATTTTTTGTTCCCTTTGACTTGGTTTCTTTTGAACTGGCTTATACTGATGCGAAACTCACGGTGAATAAGATATTGCCCGAGACCGAGGCTGTCTTAGTCATTCATGCAAGATGCTTTAAGGTTTCGGAGACAAGCAGTCTTTCGGCCGCAAGTGTGGGGATGAGAAGATGTCGGCGCAAAGCTAACCCCGTTCCATACACTGATGTAACGAATATCAAGAAGGACACAGGAAATCATGTCGTAGCCTGGACTGGGATAGGGCGGTCAACATAATGATGATGAGGCGTCGGACATGTATAAAATGGAGAGAGCTTCTCTGTGTTTGTGAACATATCTCCTTCGTAAACACCAGGCCACTTACATCCAGTCAATATCTCCTCCAACTGCCCAAACTCCATTCCCGAGAACTACATCATGGCTCCTCCAGCCCAACTCCCTCTTCGACAACTCACCAAGAATGGCCCCAAGATCCCATCTATTGGTCTGGGACTTATGGGAATCAGCGTCGGATACGGAGCAGCCACGTATGAATCACATCTCCAGCTTCTGTGCCTCACTAACATCCTCAGATCTGACGAAGAACGTCTCAAACTGCTCGACCGTGCATGGGAACTCGGCTGTACCAATTGGGACACAGCTGACATCTATGGCGACAGTGAAGATGTCGTAGGCAAATGGTTCAAGCTTCATCCCGAACGTCGTCAGGATATCTTCCTTGCGACCAAGTTTGGGCTGAGGGTAGGTGAGAAAGGGATCGTTACTGATTCGTCGCCCGAGCATGTGCGGAGGAGTATTGAGAGAAGTTTGAAGAGGCTTGGTGTTGAGCACATTGATTTGTACTACATGCATCGTGCCAACGAGGATGTGCCTATTGAGAAGACTGTGGAAGCCTTGAAGCAATTGGTTGAGTAAGTCATTCCACCATGAAATAAGCTAAAGCAGGACTCATGCCCATATAGTGAAGGAAAGGTCAAGTACCTGGGCCTCTCAGAGATCTCGTCTACCACTCTCCGCCGAGCCCACGCCATACATCCCATCTCAGCAGTACAAGTCGAGTACAACCCCTGGACGCTCGACATCGAAGGCCCTTCAGGAACAAACCTTCTCAAGGCTTGCGAGGAGCTGGACGTGGCAGTGTTTGCCTACTCACCTCTTGGCCGTGGTATCTTGACCGGTCGTTTCCGCTCTGTCGATGATTTGGAAGCGACAGATACCCGAAGAAACCTGACACGGTTCCAGGGTGACAACTTCAAGAAGAACTTGACGGTTGTGGACCAGTTCAATGAGTTGGCCAAGAATAGGGGATTTACATCCTCACAGCTCGTTCTGGCCTGGATCTTGGAACAGAGCCCCAACATATTTGTCATTCCTGGCACGAAGAATGTCAAGTATCTCGAAGAGAATGTGGGAGCAGCAAAGGTGACCCTGAGTAAGGAGGAGAACCAAGACCTGAGGAAATTGGCAGTTGAGGCTGGAGTTGTTGGGGGGCGGGACCCCTTTTTTGGCTGCTTCGCTGATACAGCTCCTCTGGAGATGTGAATGTACACAGAGATGGCAGTGTTGGCTATACGATGCTTGCTTCGGTAGCAGTCTCTAGCGCAAGCCCATACGGAAAAGTTTGCCATTCCAAGAAGACCCATCATCATCACCCTCATCCCTAAAACTCCCCATGATATCAAATCCTTGATCAACGTAGTATCTGTAACCATTAAAAATGAACCGAGTTGAGGGTGTCCTTCTGGGAACATACTGCACCAACTGCCCATTACCTCCATCCCAGCAATCAAGCCAGATCGTCTTCCAACCACGCTCAAGAGTATAATCCTTGACTTTCTGAAGGAGAGCAGCCCCAGCCCCGCGACGTCTATCACCGACTCGGTGATCAGTGACGAGGTATTGGAGGAAGACAAATTTGCCCTCTTTCAACGCAGGTTCAACCTGGGCTTTCAAACTCTCTGTCTCTTTCAGATAGCTCACGAACTGTTCTTCAACAATCTTGACGAAACCAACGGACAAAAAGGGGTTTCCGTTGTCGTCCACGCGGCGTGAGAGGTTTCCGTTTGCAGTGGATTCTGAGTCAGCCTGATCGTCTTCAACCTCGGCGATAAATATCCTCTCTCGATCACCAGTCCCCGTTCTACAGAACTGCTCCGATTTCGAGACAGCATCATGCATCTTCTCCATGAACGATTCCTTACTAGAAAGGGGCTCAGTTCCCCATTGACCAGCGTTTCCCGCCGCAACAAGGTGGGGTATGGTCGAGTCCATTGCATTAGCGATGAACTGAGCATCATTAAATGATACGGAAGCGTCACGGAAAGAGAACTGGTTCGCCATATTTCAGATGACTAACCCCTCAAATACGGAAAGCTAAGATGATACCTAGGAGAAGGGTACTGTATGGCTTCAAGAGAAGGATCGTGTGTAAAATAACGAGTTTGCTTATTCAGATGCCAGCATTTCAGCGGGCCACAAAGACGTAAGATATGCAACGCTAGCAAGGGTCGCAATCCCTGGAACTTTTATCTGAGCTTCTAGAAGAAAAGACGATTCACATCTTGCCATATTAATTTTTTCGACTGAGATTCTGAAGAAACATCCTAACAACTCGCAAGCGTCGTCTCACTTTCAGCTCTGATCGACAATGAGCCCTTGGAATAATCCGAGGACCTGAAGGTGTTGACCGATGTGCACCCCCATCATTACCTTCAATGTATGTACAGTAGATGGCGCTATAATAGTCGCGCATGGGATGGTCCACCCCAACAAGAGTGGCCATCCCGACTATCGCGAACTTTTTCGGTTTGCAAGAGCCGAGCTGGGCGTGGTACTTTGACACCAAAAACATGCATCATCATGAGTGCCTCATCGCCATCCCTGGTGGTCAAAAGCCTGCCTGTCTCACCTATACGCTTGCGGCCATTGTATCCTAAGGTAGGTAATTTGTTTTAAAATCATAGAGAAAACAGGTTGATTTTCCGACTTTGACATCGCCAAGTCCACGGCCCGTTATCGCAACAAGAAGCACATTTGCCGGCATTCTTAGCCCAACTTGCATGACTCGGTATTTGCTCCATGATAAGTTATCGTTTCGCGGTGCAACATCGACAGAAGACGGTCAGGTAATTGCCTTCAGAGAACAGCATGAGAGGCTTGTAGCCCAGTGCATGATTCTATGTTTGGAACCACGTATTCCAAAGAACTGTATACTACCTAACACAAGCACACCTACCTAGCTCATTGTCAAGTGGCTCCCCAGACGATATTCTCGAGCGAATTATATTCACATAATATGACATCGCCGTGCTCATTAGAGTGACCATGACCTCAAAGAGGTTGATAGTCCAGTGACTATGAGATCATCTGTCGTTCTTTATGGACAATCTTGTGACTAGCTGAACTCAATGACAAAGAAACGTCTCTCAGCTACAGCGTTGGATCGCGTGCGTCAACAAGGCGGTAAAGTATTAATATTTCTTGGAACCTACAGGCCCCTTTGTTGGACTTGAATTTGTACGCGATTCAGCTTGTAAAAGGTTGGGAAAAGTGCTTCTTTAGTTCAATCTCGTCAATTCACAGTTCTGGGTCCGCGATGCGTGTTAGTGGTGGGGGTCGATGCGATCTGTAGGGTCACAGTCCGCAAGACAACGGACCGTTCTCCTGTTCGAAGAGTCTTACACCCCACTCTCTCTGTTATTGGATGGCTCAATCTCTGCAATTATATGCAAAAATCGTCAACGGCTTCGACATTGGTAGCATCTAGTACAAGAAGCTGAAAGAGTTGAACTTCAGCTAGCGGTTGAACCAATGAGTATGCTTGGGGGGCAAGGGAGGAAAGAAAACTCGGGACCTTGATCCTAAATGATAAGAAGACTTAGGTAGCATAGTATAAGTTTAGGATAACTTTTGGTGAGTTTATTCTGACACCCTACATCAGGGTCCGATGCTTTCTTGCTCCCTGATGGGGGGCACCTTGTCCTACCTACACAGTAGATTGCCTTATCAAGAACTACCCCACGAAAACAAGGTGGTGGGAGAACAAGGACGGGGAAGGCCGCCACACCGACGGCAAGGTGACCGGGCTTGAGTCGCTTCGAATCCGTGTTGAGATTTGGCTCAATGGCTTGGATTTGAACTTATTGGTTTGACAAAGCCGTCCTTGGCCCCAAGGTTGGGTCGTCAAGGTCCGGGAGTGGGCACCTTGATGGACGGACCCCTTCGATTTGCTGATCAGTCTGCAGACATAAATAAAGTAGTTGTCGCACTGCCGCTGGACAATAGCATCGTGTTGTCTTTGTTATCTTTGTTGGCATTGCAAGAAGTGGCTTCTGACGTGAGATCCTTCGCGTTATCCGTCATTGTCCGTCACCGTGTTATTGACTCGTCGACACCATCGACTAGTACAGCCACCAAGACTGACATCACCGAGTCATCGGCGTTCAAAAAGAATTCCTCAGTTGAAAGGGATTGAAAAATCACTTCGACACCTCCCGCCTTCTCTCAGGTATTGCTACGTAACTCAACCATCATGGCAGAAGAACCTATGCTCTTGCGAATCCCGTCCGAGATTCGCATGCTGATATACGACTATCTTCTCGACAACGGCGGGACCAAAGATATTTCAATTCGAAATCAGTCGAAACGTGAATACGAGGCGCGCCGTTCGAAGACCCAACGTTCAGCATATCATATGATGGAGCGAACTATCGCAAGAAAGTCATACAAAACGACATATTGCGCCGACCCTCATCCCCGCCGATCGATGCACACTGCAGTTATGCAGATCAACAGGAAAATCCGAGAGGAAGCCTCTCATTACCTGTACACCAAGCATGCTTTCCACTTTGGAGAAGACCTTGAGGCCTTGGTGCCCTTCCTCACTGATAAGACGCCACGCACTAGAGACTTGGTCCGGGAGATCAGCCTCTACAAGCGCAGTCCAACAAATGTGATGGAACCAGATTCATATGACTGGTCTTCTGTGTGTCGTTCGCTGCGAAGTTTGCAAAGCTTGGATAAGTTGACACTTGTCATTGAAGGCGCTCGGCCACGAGGGTCATGGGACGGCCCGCAGAGCTTGACGGTGTCTGACTTTCGACTATTATATACAACTCGGCATGAAAGCTTGGAATGGGCGCGGGAACTGGCAACGATAAAAACGATCAAGGACGTCGTCATCGTTGCTGATATTCACAACCTGCCTCATCCCGAGTCGAACATGATGCTGGTCCTTGCCGCATTTTCATCTTCGATTGATACGTCGTTGGTGGACTTTCTTCGCGATGATCTGGGGATTCCTGCGCGAGTTGGACAACCACAGTATTGTGGTGTTGGAGTATTCGGCCGGTCCAGAAAATGTGAAAGGGATGGATGTCTGACGATTGCGGAAAATTGAAAGATGCATTTGAGGATTTGAGATAAGGCGTTGAGGAGCTGGCGCAGTTGGATAGCTATCATGTTGCACTGGAAGGAGTTATTGAAGTTTATTTAACCATAACTAAGTATGATTGGTATTGGTCACTTTGGGCATTCCGTTACGAAACATAATTGAACATGAAGAATATTGAACGATAATAGTGAACCAATTGGGTCATGATGCGTGAATTGATAGAGTTGAACATCTTCAGTCTTTGACGCAGGAACGACTTGCTCCTTAACACCACGTGATGAGTCCCTGCGCCGTGCATCTTCCTTTTCCAGAACTGAGTCCGTTCCGGTGGCTGGGACGGACCTAGAGCCCCTGCCGCCTAAAGACAAACTGGTACAGCGCCATTATACGCTGTCTTCCAGCGGAGCTTAGGTCCACCCCAACCCATCCAATCCATTATCTCAGCCTCCCCCCGTATCGTCATCGCTCCCGTTCGTTCTGCGCCTTGTATGCGGCGCAACTTATCGACGACAACCCGACAGCTCCGCGCATCCTCCGTCTCCCGCTGCCATCTCCTTCACCATTGCGTCTATCACAGTCGCATTCTAGTGAATTGCTAGGGGTTTGGCTTGTCTTGACCTGCTCCGAGCTACCCCGCCGTCATAGCCCGACAAGATGGCCACGCCAGCTCCCCCCGAGGACCAGGCTCGTCTGCTTGAAGATGCTCTCGTAGCCGTACGACAGCAGACGTCCCTTATGCGCAAATGTCTCGATACTCCTGGAAAGCTAATGGATGCGCTCAAGTGCTGGTATGTATATGATTGCCGCGATAGATAGCTCGGTCCCCTGAATGGCATCGCTGACCCTGGTAGCTCGACTCTGGTTTCCGAGCTTCGCACAAGCAGTCTTGGACCCAAGCAATACTACGAGCTGTACATGTCAGTGTTCGACGCCCTGCGATACTTGTCTGTCCATCTTCGCGAAAACCACCCTGTCAACCACCTGGCCGACCTTTACGAGCTCGTCCAGTATGCAGGCAACATTGTTCCACGATTGTATCTTATGATCACTGTGGGAACCGCCTACATGGCCATCGAAGATGCGCCTGTTAAGGAGCTCATGAAGGACATGATGGATATGAGCCGAGGCGTTCAGCATCCTATCCGTGGAC